TATACTACCTGAATGGATCCCAGACGTATTTAATTTTTTTTTTTTAACAGAGTCTTGGTCTGTTGCCCTGAGTAGAATGCCATGGCATCAGCCTGGCTCACAGCAACCTCAAACTCCTGGGCTCAAGTGATCCTCCTGCCTCAGCCTCCCGAGTAGCTGAGACTATAGGCACACACCACGATGCTTGGCTAATTTTTCTATATTTAGTAGAGATGGGGTCTCACTTTCGCTCAGGTAGGTCTGAAACTCCTGAGCTCAGGTGATCCTCCTGCCTCGGCCTCCCAGAGTACTAGGATTACAGGTGTGAGCCACTGTGCCTGACCCCAGACACATTTAAATATGTAGCAACAGACATTCTTCTTTGAGACTGATCTAACATAATATGTGAGTTATTTAATTCAGCAGGGTGAAGGTTATTTGAGGTAACTTGCGTGCACCCTTGCAATAAGAGAAGCCGGACTACAACAGGAAATAAAATCTGCCATAATGGCTTGTTTTGACTGCTTTGAGATTTTTTTTCTTCAAAAGCTATTTACAAGTTAAAAAGAGGTTAATACTCTTAGCCACACAAGAATGCAGCCCATGGAATGTTCCAAAGCTTGTCAGTTGGATAAATTCTCAATCTGGTTGTCTGAGGCAACTGTGCTTTGCCCTAAATTGTCAAGTGCAATGCAAAATTTTATTTTAGTGATAACAGTTATAATACCAAGGACTTTGAATAATTTTTAAATGTAAGTTAGATTGTATTCAAGCAACTTTCCTTCACTTGCATTCTAAATTGTGCATGTGTGTAAAAGAGAGAAAGGAAAAGGGAGGGGAAGAGAGAGAGAAAAAGAGAGTTAGAGTTAAGATTCTAAGATTTTGGCCTAACCCTCAAAGATCCCTGGGATTGAAGCCCTCATGTGGACATCATTTTGGGATCATCTCTAAATAAAGGCTGAAGACTTGAGAACAGCTCTATAGGGAGTGGCTTAATTATAGAGCTACTCTATCTTACTTACTATCCCCAGTACCTGGCCCTTAGTATTTGCCCAAATAATATTCCTAGAGGTTTTCCAAACAAACTCTCTAAGTATGTATGTATGAAAGAAACCCTGTGCTCTGACCTCTGGCAACACCTCCCTAGCCTATAATCCCAAAGTCTTTGCCCACACAGGGTGCTGACTTGAGTTTTTAGGATTTTAGTGGAAGTTGTGTAACTGGCACAGTCCCTATAGCCCAAGGTTGGAAAATAGGAAGATCAGAGTCTTCCAGGAAGAAGGCAGGTGCACGTAATTAGCGGCACCAGCTGGGCTTAGCAGACTGAGGCACTGTGGTAGGCAGACCCCAGGATTCCCACCCCCAGGTGAGCATGCCCTGTGTAATTCCCCTCCCTTGGGAAGGTGTGGCAGGACCTGTATATAGGACAGGATGGCACTCTGATGGTGTTACAGTATAAGACAGAGGTGAACGGATTTTGCAGATATAAATAAGGCTCCAAATCAGAACAAATTGATTTTAAGTTAATCAAAAGGAAGATTATTATGGGTAGAAGACTTAATCAGTTAAAAACCCTTAAAAGAAGTACTTAGGTGCTTCCTGAAGAGAAGCACTCTCCTCCTGGCATTGAAGGAACAACAGCCATGTTGTAAATACCTACGGACAGGGAGGCTTCTGGAAGCTGAGGGCTTCAGTCCTGCAACTACAAGCAGAAGACCAAGCTTAGCTGTGCATGGACTCCCGACCAAAGAAACTCTGAGATAAAAAAAGGTGCATCGTTGTAAGCTGCCAAATCTGTGGTAATTTGTTGTACAGCATTAGAGAACTGATATAGGCATAGTTGCTAACAGAAATGGCAAAAAAAAACCAAATAAACAAGGGGCACAACAAGTAAAATACAAAACAGTGCATGGTGGGGAAATAAACTGGCATTCCAGAGTCTACGCATGGACAGAGAACCTCTGAAAATAATAAGTCATGTGAGCATGAATCACACAGTTGTGATCGTTTACAAGTTTGTCTTTCCCTAAGCTAAGCTCTATGTGACCTCTGCTATCAGTATTTCTTCTGTAAGTAATTTCTATGGCCTCCTCCATGGGAGGGCCTGACCTAGACTCTGTGAAGACAGAAATGAAGATGTCAGTGTGTCTATGGCCTGGTTGAGCAGTCAAATACACACAAATACATGTGGTTGAGTATGTGAGATGCTCCCTTGGAGGTGAATGAGGTGTTCCAGGAGCACTAGGGGCCGATCTGCCTGGCAGGCCCCTGTCCCCAACCCCAGAGGTCTGCACAGAGAATTCACAGCATTTTTGAGTCACACAGGGTTAGTATAAAGAAAGAAAGAAAGAAATATATATATATATGTGTGTGTGTATATATATATATGTGCCTATATATATGCACACACATATATATTTAAATTGCAACTGCATGTGGGTAAGTCATGGGAGGAACTGGAGATCAGCTTGGACCACTTTGGAAAAGGCCTAAGGGCCTTTCCTGCATAAAAAGGCTAGGAGACTTTAATAGATTTTTTTTGTTGTTGATAACTGATGGCAAACGGCAAAAAAAAAAAAAAAAATTCTACGCAGAGGAATAATATGATCCACTTTGTGTTGTGGGAAGGTCTTCATGACAGCAGGCAGACTGAAGGAGGCAAGAGAGGAAGTAAGAGAGCTCTAGCGGGATGCAAACACATCCTGCTCACCCCTCCCTCCCTACCGTACAGCACAGGGTCCACCCAATAGTGGGGGCAATAAGTGCTGGCTGACTCATAAGCCAACAAAGCAACAAATGAGAGCTGCAGAAGCAATAGGCATGGACCACAGAACTGGGAGAGGGACTATTTCAGGCATTCAGGGTCTGAAGGATGGAGTAGAGGATGGGGTTGAAAACCCAAGTTCAGTCTCAGGATTTCTGCTGAGCTCTAGCTGGAGTGGAAAGGGGTATCCTTGAGGCCTAAAGTGCAGAGAGTGTCCAGGGACCAGGAGCAGCTCAGGGATCTAATCCAGCACCACCGTTCAGGCTTGGGGACCTGTCTGAAAGTGTGAAAGTTCATGCACATTCTAGCTCAGGCCACATTAACACCCAGTCCTCCATCAGTTTTTTAGGCAGCCCCTGTTCATCCTGTGCTGGCCCATACTCTCCCCCTTTCCTCCTTCCCTCCCCTCACCCTGTGCTTACTCCCAGCTGCTCCCTCTCAGAGGATGGTTCATCTCAGGGCTATGTCAGGGCCAAAAAGTATTGCTCACTTGACCAACTTGATCAACTGCTCCGTATTATAGATCAGGCACCCTCCTCTCTTTCTTCTGACTCAGGGATAAGATGTTCTCTTTTCTCTCAAAGCCTAACTACCCTCTGTCTGTGCTGACAATCCCTCCATTCATTCATTCACTCATTCATTCATTCATTTGTTTTGTTCACTTATTCACTGACAATTATTTATTGAACAAAACACCATTCTAGGCACTGGTGACACAGCATTGAACATGAAACAGGGCTCCAGGCTCTCACAGAGCTGACATTACAGATGGGGAGGTAGAAAATAGGCAGTGAGCAAACAAATGAACTAAAAGATTTCAGAATTATAAGTGCTCCAAAACTCCTCTTGGGTTTTCTCTCTCAACATATTTTATAACAGCCATTCAATGACCTCAACCCAAAGCCTGGGAAGCATCCCGGACTCATCCCTCTCATGCATCTTTTACTTTTGATTATTAGTCACCAAACCCTGTGGATTCCAGCTCTCAATGGCTCTCAAATCCATCTGCTCTTTTCTGGCCCATGACATTTAACACCAACACCATCTCTTGTTGCCCAGATTACTGCAGTATTCCCCTGATTGGTCTCCTCTCTCTGGTCTTACCCTCTTTCTCCATATCATGCCCCTGCTTAAAATTGTTCAGTGGTTCTCTCTGGTTTCTCCAGTCAATGTTAGCTTAACATGCAAGGTCTCTCACTACCTGGTCCTGCTGAACTCTTCAACCTTGTTTCCCTGCACTTACCTCCCTGTATATTAACAGCTTTCACTCAGCCACATTTGCAGATCTACACATCCAGGTGCTGCACACCCTCATGCCTTTGATGTATTGTGCCTTCATTTGAAGTGCTCTCTGCTCATTCTTCTCTAACTTCTTTGTTCAAAATCAGGTGTCACCTCATTTAGAAAGACCCTTTTTCTTATGGTGACCATAGAGTTCTTCTAAGGATTACATTGAGAAGATATGTGAAACCCTTAGCACAACAATGACACTCAATTTATGTGTTGTTTCCCTGATGGAGTTTCTTGAATTTTGGGCAGACATAACTAGCTTATAAAGCCTTCCTATTTGCAATGAAACCATCTCAGAATACAGACTGAGGTGGGACACTCATCTTTCTCATTGCTTTAATGAAATGAATTCATGCACAGGAAATTTTCCTTGTCCTTTGTGGTTATTGATTTATACTTTTTATATAATTTAGGCTGCTAAACATTATTCTTAATGGCCCACAAGTGATTTTGACATATCACAAGACTGGAGACAAATCCCCTGGATATCACCATCCCAGACAGCACACACAATAATAATTCACTACAGTTCCCAGTTCTGAGGGTTGGCTGTTGCCATTTTCAGTTTCAGACTGTTTCTTGGCACATTTGCAGCTGATCTCTATTCCTTGGACACTGGATGTAGAATCCAACAACATGCCACTCCTCCTGGAAAAATCTGGGACCACACACCTCCACCAAACCAAGATCTATCAGGTGGCGGCGTCTCTGGGCTGACCCTCTGATACTGTAGCCCTGACCTTTGATGGGGTCTATAGGCACTCCCTGTGAAAGGAAAAGCTGCTTTCTGAGAATGGATTTCCCTTTGGACAACTATTCCTGCACAGGTTTCTCTCCCAGCATAGGTACACAAAAGCACACATCTAATTCTTATTCTCATTACTCGGGCCGACTTTCTAAGTGCACTGAGCCTGCATCTGAGTGTGATGGTCCCTAGAAGAGGTAGGAAAAGACGTGGTTCTCTTACTTGCATTCAGCAGAGTCCGGATCTTTTTCTCTTCTTCAGCTTCTTGAAGTAGCTCTTCTGCCAGTGTTTTGTCCTCTGATTCTACGCACACATCAGATTCTCGAAGGTACTCCAGGTAGTCAATCTCCCGTTGAGCACGTTCGACTCTCAGTGCCAAGTTATTTACTGCACTCTTGTACTCATTTGTGTAGGTCTGACATCTCCCCAGCATAGCGGATATGTTTTTTGAGAACTCTTGGAAGTCTTGGATGTATGCCCTCGTTGCTTCAGTACATTTCTCCAGCCCTTGCTTCAGTCAGAAAATAAATTCCCAAATTATTGTTAGTTATTTAAGTTACCCAAGGACTATAAATAGCTGTCATTCATAGAAAAAGATTAGAAAAATACAAATAATCATAAAGGGGAAAAATTAAAATCACCCATAATTCATAAATTCAAAGGTACTATTGATACTTTGGTGTATAAATTTTTAAAAACTTTCCCAAGATTTTAGTCATACATATGTCTCTTTTTTTTTTTTTTTGAGACAGAGTCTTGCTCTGTTGCCTGGGCTAGATTGCCGTGGCGTCAGCCTAGCTCACAGCAACCTCAAACTCCTGGGCTCAAACAATCCTTCTGCCTCAGCTTCCCGAGTAGCTGGGACTACAGGCATGCGCCACCATGCCTGGCTAATTTTTATATATATATATATATATTTTTTTTTAGTTGTCCAGATCATTTCTTTCTATTTTTTAGTAGAGACAGGGTCTCGCTCTTGCTCAGGTTGGTCTCGAGCTCCTGACCTTGGGCGATCCCCCCGCCTTGGCCTCCCAGAGTACTAGGATTACAGGCGTGAGCCACCGTGCCTGGCTCATATGTCTCTTTTAAAATGTGATTTTACTACCTATATGTTTATATTTTTAACTTGCTGATATATTGTGAACATATTTTAATATCAATTAATATATACCTATATAGGTATATATTAATTATAGTAAGATAGAGCATTCTTTTGAATTGTTATCCTGTTATTATGTTAGACTCTTTTTGATGTACATTTATATATAGTTGTCATTTTTTTGTCAAACAATGCTAAGAAATAAGAATATTTGCATTTACATCTTCATGTACATATCTGGTTATTTGCTTAGGATAGATTTCCATAAGTAAGCTCCATCCCCAGCACCTGACACAAGGCCAACACCTAGTAGTACTCAATAAATAAATATTTGTTGAATGAAAGAATAAATGAATAGAAATGGGACTGATAAGTCAAGGAGTATGTATATTTAAAGATCATTTGGCACAATTTCCCAAAACGCTCTCCACACATGTAAAAATTTATACTCCAAACAGCAATATGTAAAGTTGTTCATTTTGAAGTGGGAGGAGAGAGAGAAAGAGAAAATAATTCCCTAAATCCCTGTCCTCTTTTTCCCTACCGCTCTGACACACAACACTCAGGCTGGGAATTATATCACTTTGTTGTTAAGTGTCTGCACTGGCTCACAGAGTGACCACCACGTGGGATGGGGCTTCACCTCCAGGTCAGGACTAGGGTGGGAAGGCCTCTAGATCAGATCCCTAGCTTTTTCAAGTCCGCATTCATAGCTGTGAAAGTCTCCGCAGTTCCTTGTCTGCAGACTAACTCCTAAGGTATCCAAGGACAATTTGCAGGGATTTGGCTGGCCCTACTCCCAGGGAAAGGCGGTGCTAAATGCAGAGGGACCGTGGCTGAACATCATTCTGGCACTTTTAAGAAGGTGAGCCAGAGGAGGGAGTGTCTGGGGAGGGAAAAAGTGAAGAAGCAGTCAGAGGGAATACTTGGGAATATTTCATCCACCGCCTCCAGGCCTCAGTCTGCTAGCTGCACAAACTTGGGAAATGCATTTAGCTGGCTGTGCAGAATTAATTTACCCTGACTATAAGACCAATAATTTGGACATGAAGATTTTTCAGGAAAATATAGAAAATAATTATTAAAGAGTGTCTTTGAAAGAAGATAAATAATTTGTCTAGTTAACTTGTACAAAAGCAAGGCTTTAATTGTGAAATAGTCAATGCCAGGGTGTGGCCAAGGCTAGAGCAGGGTTACATTTGTCCCTGGGAGCCTGTCCATGCTATGAAAATGTTGGGTTTCGCACATTTTAATGAGGTGGTAGCCCGAACACTTTCTCTCTTGTTTAACATTGCCGAAATCTGCTCGTTTCTAAATCCAAGTCCAATTTGGCAAAAGAAGCTAAGACTTAGCTTCTCAGTATACCACTATCATGACTTTTTACGGTGAACTAATGGTTTATCATAAAAAGACAAAAAGAAAAACTAAAATGTACTATCAACCTGATAACAGTAAAACATGAAGAAAAAGTGACCAAAAATTTCCATATTTAAAAAAACGAATGACAGGGAATAACAACATTTTGGATATATATCATCATGCTAGGCAATGATTTAACTATGAATTAAATCTTCAGAATAGCCTTAGAAAGTAAATTCTATTATTATCCCCATTTTACAGATAACAAAAACTGCCAGATCAGAGCATAGAGTGGAGCTGTGCTCAAGGTCTGGGAGGGGTATAGACCAAACTCTGGAGCTGGTGCTCTCAACTGCTAGACTCTGAGCACTTAAAAGTGTAACTTTGGTAATATGTTTATCGTTCACTATCTGGGAAAAGTGCATCTCAGTAGATAGCAGAATGGGTGAAATAAGGTAACTTTGGAGAGGTATATTCCCTGTCCAAGCTGCCCAGATGCCACCTACCTCCAAGACTCGAAAGCGCTGGTAGATGTAATGCACCATGGCTGGGTCCTGGGCACACTGCGGCGGGAGCAGAGAAGCTGTGAGAAACAGAACCAGCAACACAGAAGCTCGCCAAAGGGCCGCCATCGTCCTGCCAACCACCAAGGGGTGGAACCTCTTATGCTGTAGACGAAGATTCAAGGGTCCAGGTGGTGGTCTCCTGCTTTCTATCCGCTGCTGTGGCAAATCCTCCAAAAACAGCGTCTTGCACAGCCGGAGAGCAAAGTCTGCTTGTTATTCCACCCGATGCGTGATCTCAGTTTGCAAGCTGGTGATCAAGTCCAGCTGTCGGCTAGCTGGTCCCTGGAGGCCTTGTAGGCCAACTTGTGGCAGAGTTCCCTGGGTCCGACATCTGTCGCCCTTACCCTTGACACACGGACCCTCCCCAGGTTTGTGGTGGCATGCTGCTGCTTCCAGGCTTGGGTGCGTGTATATTGGGGTGGAGGTAAGGAAGGCTTCTTCCCAACCCCTTCCCCCATCTGTTTCCTTTTTACTTTTGCTTTCCTCCTCCCTAATGAATTCTGCTGTCCAATCACAGGCCTGACCTAAACCATCCCCAACTTCTCAGAGTTGGAATATCAGTTTAGTTTCTGGCAAAAACTCCCAGGATCTTTTTCCCAGAAGTCCTATTAGGAGACCCACCCCTCCTCCAGACGCCCTTTGCATTCCTGCAGCTCTTAAAGGCACAGCAGGAAAAATGAACATTGATGTACCACTATTGCTGAATGGCCAGTACACAGGGCTGCCTTGCCCATTGGGTAGAAAGGTATAATGGGCTACATACAGGCTGCCCAGGTTCACAGCTGAAAAATCTCAGGATTGAGCTGAGAAGAATTTAGTTAAGAGAAACAAAAATGATTGATACAAGGATGCTTCTAGAACCAAGCCATCAGGAAATGAAACTCCTTTGTAAGGAAATCCTTGAGTTTTCTCAATCACTAGTGGCAGAATTCCCTTCATGTAGCTGCAGACCAGAAATATATAGGACTCAACTCCTGCAGGCCCTGGTCTGGTTGAATATAAATCATATCTCTAGGGCAAAGTGGTAAAATCTCCCAATATTGCCTTTACTGTCCAGGCCTCTCCTTATCTTAACCTCTCTTTCCATGGGTAAGCCTAGGACTTCTCATCCTTCTTTCTCAATCACCTACCAAATTCCAAATAGTAGCTCCTCATCCTTAAAAACAATTCCTCCTATTTCTGAGAACCATCTTTGAACTATTCCCTAAACTAGTTGAACTTCCCCTGACCCCTCCTCCTAAATCCTTATTAAAAGTTCTGCTCAACTCAGGCTCCTTCTCCAAGTAAGAACGCTCTCTCTTAAATTGTCCATGCCTGGCATTTTCAAATAGAGTCTTATAGTAAAGGTACTCTAGGTGATTTTCTTCCATGAGTGCCTCAGTCCTAACTGAGATTGTGAACTAAGATGGATAAGGTGGAGGAAAACTCCAAATGCCTCACAATTAACTTTTGGGGGGTGGTGTTTAGTAATCATTTCCTTGCTTTTGTATAGCATGCTTATGTTATTTCTTTTTTCAATGAAATATACATGCGATACTAATGAAGTCTAAAGAATTGCTGGGAGGCCGTGAGGGGGAATGCAATGGGAGACCTCAGTTGCAGCACAAAGCCTCAGGCTGCTTCAGGGTTGCTGTTGCCCCTGTCTCCCTGGGGTGAGCTCCAAGGAGCTTGGCCCAGCACTGGTAGCCACCCCTTCGGCCTGCCAGTAATTCAGGCCTCATACCACACTCTTTGCAGCCGCCAGCTTCTTCATAGGGATAAGCCTGGCCTCTCTGCTCTGACTGGCCACACCTGGTCTTAGCTGGCAAACTTTACTCTTTGCAATCCCAAACAGGAGCAGCAAATCCCACAGCTGGAACTCATAACCCATTAGGATTGATGAGCAATGGGGCATCATGTTCTTGTAACCAGAGGTTTCATAAAGAAAAACCACATTTACTTTGCAGATGGTCCCAGCTTTGACTGGCACACAGGGGCCAGTCGTGGTCACCCTTATTCAGACCAGTCCTTTAATGGGTGCTGTGTTGGTAAGGGTGAAAATGATGGCTTGCAGCCCCTGAGCCTGCAGTTGGGATAAGTCAGCTTGCTCTTCCTTACATTTAACCTCTGGCCTTGACCACTGCTATAAGCTCACTAGCGAGGACAGTGGCCAAGCACAGTGACCTCTCTTTTCTCCTTTGCAAATGTCTGCTCCTTCTGCTTTCCTGCCCCAGTATCCTGAGAGGGGAAACTTAAGCTCTTTGATATCCACCACTATTTCCTCTGTGTGGTTGGATCCAAGTCACTGGTCCTAGATCTGCGAGCTCAGCCCTGAGCTGTTTTCTGTAGATGACCAGTCAGACTGTACGTGCCAGTGCTCAGCCCAACTAGCCCCCTGGGGCTGATCTCATCCAGATCTCCAGTGCTCTTTGGAAATCTTTGCCACCTTCATCACTGCTGGCTCCTTTTACTACTGTGCCTCCACATTAACTGACCCTTTGACTTCTAGAACCTTCTCTGATCCCACTACCCTCTACTTTGCTGAGAGGTGTTGGTCAACTCCAGGAAAGTCTGCAAGGAGGAGAGCTCTGCCTTTCTGAGGATGCAGAGCCCAACTCAACAGAATCCCATCTGGGATACCAGAATTCATCATTTAGGTACCAACAGGATGTCTCCTCCTTTTTCTCTTCTCTTCTCCTCCACCCTCAGCTCTTCCCCTTTATCTTTCATTCACCACACCTTCCTCCCACCACTTCCCAATAGCTATTTGCTTCAAATCATCCTCAAATCTTCCAACCTTTTGCAAGTTAATTGCATTATTTCCTGCATGAGTGATTGGAGCAGCTTCTATTTCCCTATCTTCCTCTCTTTAGATAAAGCATTTGCTGATTTTATGCCAAAATGAGAGCTTTTTACAATATGACCTCAGCCAACATTTCTTGCTTTGCCTATTAGCATCCACCACATTCATCCTCTACAAGAGCCACATCTAATTGTCCCCAAACTCTCCATGAAACCTAACATAGGGTATCTTTGCTTATGCAGGTGCCTCAGCCTGGGATGTGTCTTCCTTTTGTAACTCATGAACGCTTACTAGTCCTTCAAGTCTTCCTACCACCTCCTCACTCCCATCCCAGGCAGAATAACTCCCATGACATGTTGAAGTCTGAATTTTGGAAATTTGAGGGGGAGGCTAATCTGGGCATTGGTGCTCTGGTAGAGAGGTGTGGGCTCATGGCCTCTGGGGCAGTGGTATGGAAGGAGGAAGAGAAGAAATGTAGCACTGTTATAGGATGACACATGGTGCCTCAAAACTCATGTGTTCATATGTTGGAGTTCTAACCCCTCTATCTTCAGAACGTAGTTGTATTTGGAGGTAGGGTCTTTAAAGAGGTGATTAAGTTAAAATAAGGTAGTTAGAGTGGCCTTTAATCCAAACCAGTCCTGGTGTCCCTGTACAAAGAGGAAATTTGGACATACAGAGAGACCCCCAGGGATGTAGATTCTCAGAGTAAAGATCATATGAGGATGTGGGGAGAAGATGGCCATCTGCTAGCCAAGGAGAGAGGCCTCAGAAGAGACTAAACCCGCCAACACCTTGATGTTGGACTTCTGCCCTCTAGAACTGTGAGAAATAAAATTCTGTTGTTTAAGCCTCCCATTCTCTGGCATTTTGTTATGGCAGTCTGAGAAAACTAGTACAGGCAAACAGTGAGTTGTAGGAGGCAGTGTAGGGACAAAATGGAGCAATTCCAAGGGAGTGTACAAAATGTTCATGGCAAGAAGTGAATTGATAAGAGAACTTCCTGGCTGATATACTGATGATTCCCAAGTTCAGGCCTAAACCTGGAGCTCCAAACCCTATTTCCACCTGCCTACTGGACATTTGCACTTGGATATAGAATAGACATCTCAAACATGGCCCATTTCTATTTGTCTTTCTACTCAAACTTCCTCTGAATTTTTTCTTGCAGCAAATGGCACCATCTTCTACTGAACAAATGTAGAAATGTAGGAGTTATTCTACAAATGTAGAAACGTAGGATACAACCTCTGTGGAAAGCAATATGGAGATACCTCAAAGAGATACAAGTAGAACTACCATTTGATCCAGAAATCCCATTACTAGGCATCTACCCAAAAGAACAAAAGACATTCTATAAAAAAGACATCTGCACTTGAATGTTTATAGCAGCACAATTCGCAATAGCAAAGATGTGGAAACAACCCAAGACCCCATCAATACATGAGTGGATTAATAAAATGTGGTATATGTATATCATGGAGTTCTAGTCAGCCACAAAAACAATGGTGCTCTAGCACCTCTTGTATTATCCTGGAAAGAGCTAGAACCCATTCTACTAAGTGAAGAATCCCAAGAATGGAAAAACAAGCACCACATGTACTCACCATCAAATTGGTTTTAACTGATCAACACTTAAGTGCACATATAGTAATAACATTCATCAGGTGTCGGGCAGATGGGAGGAGGGGAGGGGATGGGTATATACGCACCTAATGGGTGCAGTGTGCATTGTCAGGGGGATGGACACTCTTGAAGCTCTGATTTGGGTGGGGCGACGGCAATATACGTAACCTAAACATTTGTACCCCTATAATATGCTGAAGTTAAAAAAAAAAACAACAAAAAAGGAAATGTAGGAGTTATTCTACATTCATCCTCATTCTTTCATTCTTATTCCTTTTTTTTTTTTTTTTTTTTGAGACAAAGTCTCATTCTGTTACCCAGGCTAGAGTGCCATGGTATCATCCTATCTCACAGCAACCTCAAATTCCTGGGCTCAAGTGGTCCTCCTTCCTCAGCCTGCTGAGTAGCTGGGAATGAAGGCACACACCACCATGCCTGGCTAATTTTTTCTATTTTTAGTAGAGATGTGGTCTAGCTCTAGCTCAGGCTGGTCTCAAGCTCCTGACCTCAAGTGATCCTCCTGTCTCGGTCTCCCAGAGTGCTGGGATTACAGGCACGAGCCACCGTGCCTGGCCTAATTCTTATTCTTATGTTCGATTAATCAGCACACCAAGATTTATTAATTTTGTCACCTAAATATATGTTAATTACATTCCCTTCTATTTTATGCTACCGCTACTTCCTTACTCAGGGCTTTATCATTTCTTGCTTTCTATTCATTTATTTAAAAAGTATTTTGGGTACCTATTGTGTTCTAGGTATTGGGCTATGCACTAGGAATGCAATTACAGACACAATGGACACATTCCTTGTCCTCATAGAGAATGTATCTAGTAGGGGAGAAAATCACATGGATACATAATTATAATGTGTTATAATTTTTCTAATTAAGCATTGAAAGAGGTGGTAATAAATGCCATGATGGCATGAAGGTGGAGCACTTGAGTTTGGTGAATCACAGAAGACTTCCTAAAGGAAGTGACAGC